ATCAAAAAATGTCTATATGTGACACGGCACCAGAGTTAAGTTGGGGTTTTTCAAAATGCTGACACGCCGAGCCCAAAAGGTTCGCCATCACTGGCCTAGACAGACGACCAAATGCCACTGGTCCTGCCCTCATTCTCACAAGCTCCGCGGCCTGCGGGCAGCTCCTCCTTTACCAGGCGGTGGGTAGGGGCCCTGGCCGGGCGGCTCAGTGGGTTGAGCATTGCCCAGTGCAATGAAAGGTTGTGGGTTCGATTCCCAGTCAGGGCACGTGCTGGAGGCAACTAATCAATGTTTTTCTCTCAAAATCAATAAAAGACGTTTAAAAAACATATCCTCCGGTGAGGATAAAATGATAATAAAAGGGGGTGGGGGAGGAATCTGCAATTCCATTAACACAGAACTTCCCAGACACAGGTCTTCCCTCCCACAGGGCATCCGAGTCCTCCAGCGGGGGACACTGGGGGTGCCGCCCGGGGGCAGCTGAGAGGTGGCCCTCCTGTCACCACGGCCACCAACTCGCTAACAAGGACCCAGGGCGTTACATGTGGGGCCTAGTGACCAAAATAAACTGACAACAAAACTGGCCCAGAGGCACGGAGCCTGGGGCTGACTGAGACCTCAGGGGGGAGGGGCTGCAGGGACGGGAAGAGATCAACCGAAGAACATATGTGCATGTGTGCATGGCCCATGGACACAGGCGACGGTGTGGGGAAGGCCTGGGGAGGGGGAGCTGAGCAGAGGGGGCCATGGGGGACATCTGTAATACTGTCAACAATTTAAAAATATTTTTTAATCCAGAAGAGTCCGGGGCAATCCCAGCAGCACCGACCCAGCGTTTACTCAACAGACACACGGGAGCACCAGGTCCGAGCGGGCATCGGCCCCGCCCTGAGGCCACGGCGCCGGGCGGTGTCTGCTGGTGCTCACGTCCTGGCGGTCACACAGGTCACTGTGGATCCCACCAGGAGGGACCCTCTGCCTTCCTCTACAGACCTTCCCAGTCTTGGTCTTTACCCCTCAGTCCCCAGAACAGACGGGCTGCGGGGTGGGGGGCGGGGGGGCCTTCCTGAACGCAGACCCCTAGGGGTGCTCCAGACCCCAGACTCGGGGGGAGGGGCCTGGAGTCAGCATTTTGATCTCAGGTGCTGGCTTTTCGTCCCAAAGCCCGAGGCCTGGTCTGGGGCCCTTCTGTCCACGCCCTGGGGACCAGGAGCTGCAGCCCCAAACAAGGGGAGGCCCATCGTGGCCTGGCCACGCACAGGACACGTCGCTGGGACCCGGCACCCCCGTGGAACCCCGCCTGTGACCAGACCCCAGGGGCCGCCACGTAAGACTCGCCGGGCCTCACCCACAGCCGGGCCCACACCCACCTGTTGCCCCGGCGGAAGTGTGATTTTGCACAATTAGCCAACCGCTTTGGCCTCTCTGTGTCTTCAGCTGTGAAGTGGGGGTGCCCATGGCCGCTTCCTCGTGGGACGTGGGAGTGAAGTGAGACACTTGTGAGGGCTCCCCGGGCCTTGCACACAGTAGGTGCTCGGGGAGAACTCCGGCCCGACCTTCCTCACAGCCTCTGCCCTTGGGCGCCCAGGCCCCCGGCCCCCAGGGCGCCCTCCGTCCTGCTCTCACCTCGTTTCTCTCCGCACGAGCCCTGCCAGGGCGGGCGGTCTCCTGTGCAGCCCGGGGCCCCGCCACCTGTCACTCGCGAGTTCACCTGGACCTCCCCACGTGCCCGCCCAGCGCGCTCCGCCACCCCTGCGGCCCACGGCCCTTCTGTGTTGTCTATGCACACGTGTGTGGACACCTAGTTCTGCACGGACACAGGATTCTGCACACGTGGGCGTGCCCGCACGTGTGCACAGGTACATGCACACACGTGCACGCACACATGCACGTCCTGCGCGCACACGCCAGTCTCCCGCGGCCGCACGCACCGGAGC